CCAACCCTTCACAAAATAAAAAAGGAAAGGCCTTTGAGGCAGACCATAAACACTTTGTCAAAGTAACTGTTATCTTATTCTCCTGATTCCCCTGAGATTTCCAGTCATAAAATGCAGTGCACCATGAGGAATGGTGTCTAACAGGAGCTGTTCAATTAGATGAAAATAGCAACATTAGAAATTATTATCATTACAAGCTCCCTGGTGTTTGTCTTGGGTTTTTTGGGGAGGTTTTTTCTTTTTTTTAGTGGATCTTTCAGAGAGCTGTAAGAGACTTTCCCATGACCTGTTCGCATTGCTGTCAGCATGCTTTTGCATTTCTGGCTTGGTAATATTTTTCTATGCTAGTGAAGTTCCTGACTGGTGTAATTACCACAGGCCTATTTCAGCTGGTGTGGCAGCTGGCAGAGACAATCTGTTCTTTCATGGCTTTATCAATTATATAAAACCTACTTCCGCAGCGTGCCACCCATCCTTTAATCCATCTGTAGCACTGTATTGCTCACGTGAGGGAGCATCTGATTTAAAATACAAAACTGTCAGTTACAGAAGGACGTGCAGCAGGGTTCGAAATGCTGGGTGGCACCGGTAAGGCGCGTTGTCACATTGGAACAGGGACGGCTCTGGCGATTCTGTTGCTCTCAGCAACGCTCAGAAATGGCACCCCTGCCATGTTTTGGTTGCTTATGCATTTAGTTCCTCAATCCCTTCAGCCCCATTGCCCACCTGTTAGTATGTGTGGTAGAAGCAACCTTAGGTTTGGCCACATGCCTTCATGAGAGCAATTCCTCCCTGCCTGCCGCAGCTCTACGGGCTTGCGGTCCGTGCAGGGAAACAGCAGAGAGATCACAGCAGACCCTCCCATCTTGCTCATTCAGTGAAGAGAAGCTGGGAGTGAAGCAGCTGGGAAAACTAGCAGAGAAAATGATAGCTGTGGAGGTCACCAGTGTGTAGGTGCAGAGCCTCGGGTAGATGATTGGTTCCACAACATCTTGTGACTCATTCGGCTGTCTAAATCACACTCCCACAGGACTACAGCACTTGAAAGCTTGGAAAATGCTTAGCTTTTCCTCCTTCAGGTGTTTGTTGGGTTTCGAGAGGGACAACATATGGGATGCTAAAAGAGTTGCTTAGAAAGGAAGGGAGATTCTGGGAAAGGGGAACCTGGACAGGAGAAGATAGAACAGGGGTTTTGAAAAAGGCAAAGAGAGGCTGAATTTCTAAGGACATATATAAGGGTAATCAGGATGGAATGGCTGGGACTACAAAAGGGATGAGGGAAAGAATAAAGGAGTAGATTGGCCAAGATGGAGGGATTCGTGGGAAAGTAACAAAGGAGGAGAGAGAAAATGAGATAATGGTAATGGGAAATAGAGTGAAATGGAATATGGAGTGAGAAGGGAAAAAGTAAAGTCACGAGATAAGTCAAAAGTAAAGATGTGTTTACAGCCACGGTGTATTATTTGCCTTATTCCTAACTGTCATTGCATTAGACAGGAAAAAGGTGGGAGGGAGTGGGGAATGACTGCTTTCACCCCTACAAGGGGAAAACACAAAAAAGCCTTGGAATAACTTGTGTGTGATGATAAGGACAGGAAGACCTTCTTGCAGGTGAGGTTCAATGCACTCATTTTCCCCATCCATTCACCCTTGTGCACACTGCATGTATGATTACACCCTTACAGGATACTTAGTGCAGGCTGCTGAAAAGCAATTATCTCTGCAGAGCTCCCAAGATCCTGCTGAGATGTCCATTATAAAACATTTTTCCATACTGAGAGAAGTGCTATAAATCCTACTGAGCCCACACAACCCTTAGAGACAGCCCCCAAACCATCTCTTAACCATCATCACTTTTCATAGTTTAGGGATAAGCATGGAACATTTTATTTCAAGCCTGAGATGAATCATTACAGTAATTTTATGGGTAGTGATTCTCTTTGGTAAGACAGGTGGTTCTAGCAAACAGTGATTATTTATATTTTTCTTTCTCTGTCAAGTTCAATTGTACTGAAATTCTTAAAAAAATTACTCTTAGGCCTTATAGAGTTGTGCAACTAATGGTAAACTAATACCTAGCTGTTTATATAAGGGATGCTGCTGCTTACATAAGTGATGAAAATCATGTATTAGCTCATACCAAATTATAGGGTTGTTTGGAAGATCTGATACCAACGGAAGCCCTGCCTCCACAGAGACAGCAAGGACAGTATCTCAGTTGTCTAATATGATTGAGTTAGATGAAAACTGACCTTGTGCTGCTCAGTGGGATATTCCGATACAAAACCAAAAGGACTTGTTCAAAACAAAACAAAACAAAACAACAAGGAAGTAATCAATTTTTCTTTCTTCACATAAGAAATATCTGAGCGGATGCCAAAAGCAGCAGAGACCCTCTCAGTCTTGGCCAACAACCGAAGGTATTTTAGACGCCGGAAAGCAATATACTGACTTAAAACTAATTGAGGTGACAAAGTAAAGCAAAACAAATTGATTGAATAATGAGGATTTGTTTATTCCAATTCAGGCAGAATTTGGTGAATGTTTTTAGCTGTTGGGGGTAGGGGATGCAGAAGGGGACATCCTCACCTGGCTTCATCAATAAAACGATTACCCTTCTGGTTGTTTCAAGTTTTTTTCCAGCAAATAAAAGTCTGGAAAACCCTCCAAACTGACCAATGACTCTCCAGGAAGGAATTTTCAGATGGGCCCTTTCTGTTTCTTACAGAAGACAGCAGTTAATCTCTACAACAGCAAAACATGTAAAGAAATGATAGAAAACAGTGCTAACAAAGCTTGGTGTGGAGGCACTTTCTTGGTCTTTGTTTCAACAGAAAGCTTCATCTTAATACTACTCAGCATAAGGTTTTAATGTAAGCAGCATCCAGTATTCCTGCCAGATAAGCATTACTAACATAAGTTAGTTAATTCCATAAGAATTTCTCTTCGTCCATAATTACATACAGACTTCAGTAACAGTGATTTTTTTCAAAGCATTTACAGGAAGTCCAGTCAATCAGATAACTTGATTAAGTGAGCATTCCTAAAACTCATTTTAAACCTAAAAGGTTCTTACCATTAAGGAACATCTTCCATAGTAAGACGCCGTTCTGGGAACTTAGAGAAGTTGTTGTTATACATTATCTTGAATAAAACCTGTAGGAAGGTACAAATAGTTGTCTAAAACGTAAGTGTAAACAAGTATGTCATTATGTTTTTCTTTGCAATCCTAAATATATCAAAACCCTTTGAAATTATCACTGTAGCAATGTCACTCATATACATTGTTTTATTAAAGTTTTTTACATATAGAAACTTCTGTGAAAATGAGACTGCTGAGTGTTGGGCCACATTAATTTATTCATACTTAATGCTGAGCTCAGAGATAATAAAAATTATACTATGAGCTCATACTTAGTGGTGCACAGAAACTGTTACAAAATGTCCTTGAAGGTTCTTCTTTCTGGGACTTCATTGCTGGTTTATGTAAGGAACAATTAACAGAAGCATGAACCGGAGATGGAAACAAAAGATAAAATAGTAAAATCTGAAATAAAGCAAGTTTAGTGACAGCGTATCCTTCTCTGACTACAAAGATGCAGTTTTCATTTGTCCAAGGCAACCCAATACTTAATGAAAGCCCCTCAATAATGAAATAGTCCTGTCAGAAAGACAGGAAGTAGCAGGTTGGGATTTCCCTGCTAACAGCAGAAAGTAAAGTAAGAGTTTAAAAGGCTAAAGTAATTACAAGGATGCAGAGCACCGGGAGTTGAAATAGAGAAAGTTTCAAGACTTTTTTTATTTAGTACTCCTCATGTGTTCTTACATAAGAAATGTTCATTAGGATGAAGCTTGGAGAGGTTTCCACTTAGAACTGTTCTCACAGGCAACGACTCGTCTGAGTTGTCCCAGCACAACCAAACCAGCAGCCTAATGACATCGACTGAAGTCGGACTTTGACTGTGAGCCCAGACACTAGAGCAGCTCCCCGCCCTGACCTGACATATCTGAGATGTTGCTCTGAGATATGTAGGGAGCCAGAAAAAAATACTAAAATTGCCATCAAGGAGGGCGAAGATGCAGCATTTGTAGAACAACAGCAGGCATGCAGAATGACTTGACTTCTCTTGCTTTATGCAGGAAACGATGATGGATCATGCGCTGCGCACCATCTCCTACATCGCTGATATTGGCAACATTGTGGTTTTAATGGCGCGACGCCGCATGCCGAGATCAGCTTCTCAAGACTGTATTGAAACAACACCTGGTGCCCAGGAAGGAAAGAAGCAGTACAAAATGATATGCCATGTCTTTGAATCAGAGGATGTAAGTAAATGGAATTAAATTTATTTAAACAACCTACTTAATTTAGATTATCTCTGAAATTACATCTTATTTCTTGAATGAATTTTTGTTGGTGGTGTTCTTTTCTGATTGAAGCTACAGGTAATCTGTGGAAATGCTAGCCAGTTTTTTGTCCATATTCATACCTCTTCTCTGTCTCCACAAATTCATGTCTCCTCCACAGTCCCAAAACATCCACTCTTTGTCTCATGTGTTACAGAATCACTTGTGTTCTTTCAACAATGCTTCCCCAAATGCTTTAGTTGTCTGGAAGTCAATAGCCATTCATGGCCACAGTTAATTTATGGGATATCAAATTGATCATTCATCCTGGATTGGATTCTTTAACGTAGTGGGTTGGCACATAATGACCCACATATGCTTCCAGACCCTTGGCAGGCAGGTGGAACTGTTCTGGACCTCTTTCGAACTGAAGCCAAGTTGCTGAGAACACCTACCAGCTTGGCAGGCCTGGCACAAGCTGTCCTCTCCCCAGCCCCTACTCCCTTACGGCTTACTGAGGTGTAGTTAGGATACGTACTCTCAAACCTGCAGCTGGATCCTTTGATGTTCAAGAACACCTTCAGCTGTTTATTTTTCAGTTCATATTTTTTCATCTTTTTTTGTGCAAGTGAAAATTAAAAACTAAATTCTGAAGTGGTCTCTCCTTTTTTTAAACAGAATTTTAACAAGAAGTGGTTTAGGGCTAATTTGGTATTGGATATCAGAGGATCTTATGGCATAAAAAGACCGAAATTATGCTTTCGGAGAAGAGTAGCAAGTTCTTACTAGCTTTTTACTCTAAGATTTGAAAAGATAATTTAAATATGAAGAAACAATTTGTGACTGGCTGGGCTAATTAAGTCCTTGATTTTGTAGAGTCATTTTGTCAAGCAGTTTGGTGCTTTTGTGCACTGCAGCACCAGTGAAATAAGAAAACCACTTTTAGCATCAAAGAAAACACTGTTAGGTGAGGTTACAGGACGATTTAGTTTTACAGTGTTGTCCAGAAAACCCTTCATAATGCATTTAGCATGTACCTACTGTCTGAGAAACTGCGTTGCATTTCCAGAGTAGTTTTATAGGTTTGGTTGGTAATATTTTTAGGGACTTACATTGTAAGATGCAATTAACAACTCCTCACATCACTGGGAGTCACTCATATCCCCGATGACAGAATACAGTACCTGAAAACCAGAAACGCATGAAACTCAGTGTTGCGTTCTCCCGTGAGCTGCAGTAAACTCAGAATAGGGAAAAAAAATAAATCAAGTGTAGAAAAGTTGGCTACGAGATCCTTTTATATAGCTCTACCTCCATTTCTCTGTGTTCCAGTGCCGTCTAGTGGAACAAGAAAGTACATTTCGTGGCAGTCCAGTATTTCTTTAATTCGTTAAAGTTGGCAGTGTGATGAATGTGCCAAGTTGTTAGTATTATCATCATTGTTGGTTTCTGTAGGTTTCTTTCTAATGTATATATACTTCTGACACATCCAGGCAGCAGCCACTGTAATGTTTCAGCAGCTGTACTCGCTCTACAGCCCGCTGAAATGGGAAGTCATCGCGTGCATGCTGTAGTCAAATGCACGCGCAGACAAGCGTTTCAAAACGTAATGAAGACACGGGGGGTTTTGAACAGTTGTTCTTAACACGAACAAGCTATAGTCAGGGCTGCGGCTGCATTCTTGAAAGCATCCCTGACACTGCAAGGCAAGGTGTTAATGGAAGTAGCTGTTGGAGTTCTGCAGTGGCTAAGTGGGGCTGTTCCTGGCGTGCCGGGAATATGAGACAGGTATCATGGCAGTAACAGGAGAGCAGATGGTTTGCCGAGGCCGTGTTTTCAGCCCTGTAAAACCAGAATGGAGAAGCAGCAGGTGACATGGCAACCAAAATCATCAGTGCATACATGTCTGTGAAGGCATGTCTCTCATCACTCCTGCAAATACACTGGGATCAGAAGCAGGGTTTGTGACAGTCTTTTCTGTACGCTCTGTTCCGTTTTGGTACGAAGCCAGTACTCCCCAGTGTTTGTTGGAATGGGTAGATAGGGAGCATATGGCTGCTTGCTACAGCAATGTCCTGATGAAAGGAGATCAGCAGGGTTTTTAAATGGAATTTGATTTTGGATGCAATGGATTCTTTTTGTACAGCGGACCTTAAAGTGACTTCATATTCATACTAACTTGGCAACTTTGCAGGATCCTTTATTTTGACTCTCTTAAAAATCCAATCTCTCTTGTTTTTTACGGTTCCAGTAGTAAACCATTCATCGGTCCTTTCTGAGCTGTGTTTTATTCCACATTCCAGGCACAGCTGATAGCTCAGTCAATTGGCCAGGCTTTCAGCGTGGCTTACCAAGAGTTTTTAAGAGCCAATGGAATTAACCCAGAGGATCTCAGTCAGAAAGAATACAGTGACATCATCAACACCCAAGAGATGTACAATGATGACCTCATACACTTTTCCAACTCAGAAAACTGCAAAGAGGTAAACTAGTTTGGGAATTTCATTTCAGATTGATCCGTGACTTTACATTTCAGGATGTGCCGATTCATCAACGCTGTGCTAGTAAAATCAGCTCTGTAAGTTTTAGAATTTTTTTATTTTCATTTTCAGGGTCTTTCTGCTTCTGCTGATTGAAACAGTAGTAAAGTACATCTGACATACATAAGATCTGTGCTGTTCACAGTACACAGCGCAAGGTGGTTTTATGTTTTACCAGTGCACTGATACAGAAAGCGATGACAGTGCGTTATAATGCACATTGTAAGTGATTTCTTACTTGACAGATACAAGGACCACGAGTCTGGGATGCTGTGGCACTGAGCAGGCCAATCTCTCTTCCCCTATTAGAACACCAGCAAAACTGCCATGTAAAATGGAGTTTCACATGCATAATGCATGGAAAAGCAAGAATTTCCCTTAAGTGCCCCAAATTACATAAGTGTAACTACATTTGATTTGGGATGTAATGGGTTCTCTCTGTACAAAGGCCTTATATTTCACATTTTACATTGCCTAATCCTTCAGTCACAGCTTTCCTGCTCATGCTTACTTCTTCTAGGATTGCAGGCTCATTTTGTACAGCACACGCGTTCTTGGGAAGAGCGCGTTTTTCACCTGTCCCTGCAGATAGAAAGGGTACGAGCTGACCACAGTCACTACGTATCAGTAAAGTGCTGCCGCGTGCATGTAAGCCTGACAAAATATTTCTCTGGTAGCAAACAAGGGAAAACTGAGTTGAACAAATCTTGGTTTAACTTGGAATCGGAAAAGAAATACACGTGTCGCATTTTGAAGCGATTAAAAAGGTCGTTATTGTTGTGGCACCTTTGTTTCTAATTGGTTTATGAATGTTTGAACAATGACAGAGTTTTGGCACACTGGTTGGTTCAAAGCCTTGATCAACAGTTTTGACAAAGTCAGCTTCGCAATTCCTGTACGCACAGATGTCCCTGTCCTTCCACCTTTGAAAGAAAGTATTTCCCAGTATTTCCTTAAAGAGTATGGTCTCTATGTAAACTCTTACTCCTCTTCTGTAAAGGTTAGCCATGCTGATTGCTGAGCAGTTAACATCAGCGTGTTTGAGGAGTCATCGTTTACATCAGGGATCTTAGAATAATGTGCCAGGGACAAGTACCTAACAGGAATGTAACTGTGTTAATGACGACAGTCAAGAGGTCCTTGCCCAAAAACAAGGACAGACAAACCCTGAGACCATGAGACAACCTGAGCAGTGATGGCAGAGGTGCATCTGAACTCAGCTTGTGTTCAGGCACTGCCTTAGCCACAGAATGTTACAGCCTCCCCCAGCTGCCAGGTTCCAAGGGTAAAAACTGCTTTGGCATTCGTGCATTTGGTATGCAGTTCCACCACTTTCGATAGCTAAGCAGTGTGTTAGATTTTGCTTATTATAAGGACCTATTTTACCGCCAACAAACAACTGGAGGATACCCCTGAAAAGAGTAGGTACGTGTTACACGGCTTAACAGCGTTTGTGAAGTCACGCCACTACCTAATGGCAATGAATAGAATTCTTTCTGTAATTTGTAGATGTTGTTAGGAACAATTGAGACGAATCAAAGTCAAAAATGTTTTTATTTGCTTGTTTCCTTTTTAATTGCAGCTCCAGCTAGAAAAACAGAAGGGAGAAATTCTTGGGGTAGTGATTGTGGAATCTGGATGGGGATCCATTCTACCCACCGTTATCCTGGCTAACATGATGAATGGAGGCCCTGCAGCCCGTTCGGGAAAACTAAGCATTGGAGACCAAATTATGTCCATTAATGGGACCAGTTTAGTTGGTCTACCTCTTGCAACATGCCAAGGGATCATAAAGGTACCTCAAACTTACAGCTACCCGCTGTGGATTGTAAGTCAGCAGGGATGTAATATTCTGACAAGCAACCCTGTAGATTTCCAGCAGATACAATTTTTCATATCACTGAAAAAAAAAAGTAATCTGCCGTTAACAAAAAGTAGAATTAGACACAAAGATTCAGGGGTGATAATGTACAAAAATTCAGGGCTGAAGAATTTGACTTCAGCTTTGTTACTGGACTGTAACAAATGAGGCCAGGTCTGAAAAACTTGCCTAAATTACTATCTTTAAAGCTTCAGGCATCCCCACAGCCTCCGAATTAAAATCCAAGGATTAAATTCTACTATGCTGCTTGGGGCTCCGTGTAGGTGAGATGAACGGAGGCTGGTAGACTGCAGGACAGCACAGGTGAACATACAAAGACTCCCCAGGCGTGATGGAATCTCAGACTGCACTGTCTTTCACCACTGGCGCTAAATCTCATGGCTGTGCAGATTGACCAAGAACAGCAGCGGCAGGAGCTCAATTAGCCAGGCGCTGGTAAAGGGCAAGCAGAAGTCAGTTCTGGGGTTTCTTGAAAGCTTTCTTGAGTTTCTATAGCAATTAAAGGCAGAGTTTTGATTTGTTTTGTTGGGCCAAATAGCTTGTGAAAGAAATGAAAGGGAGAAATGTGTGTCTCAGTTAACAAGAGATTTCTACTAACTCCAGGTGATCTTTCTGAGCGTAAAGATCAGCTGCTTTACGCTCTTGCAATTAGAAAACCACTAATGAAAGAGCAAATTAAGATCCATTTCAGAAATACTAACTTTTGGAATATCCTACAGGGTCTCAAGAACCAGACGCAAGTCAAATTGAACATTGTCAGCTGTCCTCCTGTTACTACTGTCCTCATAAAACGGCCCGACTTGAAATACCAGCTGGGCTTCAGTGTACAGAACGGAATTGTAAGTTTCTGTGTTCAACGACTGTTGGGGTTTGGGTTTGTTTGTTGGTCCTTTTTACTTTTTTTTTTTTTGGTCAAGAAACACATTAAGGTGCTGAAAAAATCCTTGCTCATGATCTCACTTTTGTACTGTGACACCTTAATTAATCAAAACCTTATAATCACATCTCTGATGGACACCAGGAGAACAAGTACTGCCATTCCTGAGGGATTTTCCTACATACTACGGCCACGTGATTTATAGTCCACATTGTTTGGTGCTGTATCTGGATCAGCTAATTCATGTGTAACTAACTCTGTCCTTAGTGTGCCAATTGCAAGGAAAACAGTTACGCTGAACCAGGTTTTTACAATTAGAACAGTCTGATCTTAGCTCTGATCCTCCTTCTCTTTTTTAAATTTCAGCACACAGTAAGACTTCTAATTTGTATTCCACTGTGCATAATTTATTTGGATCACATGACAGGGGAAAAGGGACTGTAATTGTTAAAACTAAACACCTCTCACTACAAGTATTTGCATAGGTTGAGGCCCAGGTATCCCTTCTCTGCAGCAAGCAGAGAGTTTCCCTGTAAGTAACAGCAGCAAACAGCAGAATGAACATGGCAGGTAACACTTACCAGTGCAGCTCAGGGTCCTCCTTTCACCGTTCTTCCTTCCCAAGGAAATCTCCCGTGCCTTTCCAAAGCAAACTCCCAATGCAACTAGCTCAGGTAGTCTCCTGGCCTTTCTGGGGGCTGATACTAGCATTAGGGACTGTCTGTAGTGCAGGACCATCACCATCTCCTCTTCCTCCAGTCTAGGAAAAAAAAAAATCAGGCTGCTCACACAGAAATCCACATCACAAAGGACTGTGGGCTCTGGTCCCCTGTTCTGGGGAACTCATCGATTGAAGTTGCCAGATACCTGTTTGCCACCCTTGGAAAAGTAGCAGGTAACTCTCTAGGATATGGTTTATGGGTCTTTAGCAAACAGATGGCTCATTAGGGATTTTCAGCTCTGCTGGCCATGTCTAAGTTACTGTTGTACCTAAGTTTGAAGTGCTCCTACCCAAGATCACCTGTCATGGTGTGTTCACAGCAGAGATTGGGATAAAGAACACTGCTACAAGCCTTGGTCCAGCGGGCAGCACTCTGAAGTGACACCTACCCCAGGCTGCCATCCTTTAGAAGCAGAGGGTTGAAGTATTTGTCACATTTGGGATTAATGCTCTGACACCTCAGTAGAGAGAGGTCTGTAAATACAGAACCATCAGGGGTGGGGTCTATTTCTGTCCTCCTCTGCCTGTGCTTAATCCCCTTTCACCTGCCGGTGTGTTAGGTGGGTATGGCTATTGCAGGTAGTTCACTCTGTGTTAGCAAATCCTTGGTATAAAAAGGGTATAAAAAGGTATAAAGAATCTTGGTATAAAAAGGGTAAAAGGGATGGGATCTGGTTTTACCAGATCTCACAGAGGGTGGTGAGAACAGCGTGTAATACTGTATGAGGCACTGGTTTATATCCTAATTGCTCTCCTTCATAAATCCAGCATGTTCGGCTGGTGCTAGGATTAAAAGAGGAAAATATCTCTAAGGAACAATGAGCAAGACTATGGTGTGTTTATCACCTCTTTTTAGGAGCCTGTCACAGCACTGGGGGGTGGGTCAGAGCTGGGGAGAAGAATCAGGGGAGGAGGATTAGATGCAGTGTATCAGGTCCTCACATGGACAGAAGCAGTTACGGCGTCTGAGAGACAATCTATTCATCTCAGCCCAGCTCATCATCTTCCACACAACTGGCACCTCAGTTTAGTAAATTCTGGGGACTGTGATGGTTGTCTTTCACGGCTTGCTCCATCTAGTGCTCATTTGTCATATTCATGAATGGTCATCATTCATTCCAGTTAAACGAGCAACATTTAAATGACACCCACTATGAAGTTTACCAGATTCATAATAAAAATCCTTCTCAGGTAACAAAAAAAAGCAAGCCTTGTAACACATTTCATTTATGTAGAGTCTGTGTTTGAAAGCCAAGGAGCAAAAAGGAGAGATGAACATCTTGTGTTAGGCTGCTACAGAGACAAGCTTCTGGGCCTGTACCTTCTCAGATAAACCCTCTCTTACTTCACTTAACATGTGAAAATATGACTCTGCACAGTACGACTCTCTGGTATTTTGACACTGAACTTCTGAAAAGCGGTTTTGTAGCTGCCAGCAATTGTTATAAATTATGACAGGGCTTAGTTCTCTGCCTCTGCCAGCAGTTGTGCGGTGGTTCCCTTTCGCCCTGCTTATCTCGCCCGTGCAGGGTGCACAGCTGCACTGGGGACTGGCCATGAACAACCTGGGCCCAGAAGGGTACTTCCTGAGCTGGGCTTGGCGTGCATAGGCTATCAGGAAGATGCAGCGCCCGACTGGGCTGCTGCACGTGGCCGTTTCCTTTGTGTATTCTGGACCATTTCATTAAGGCAGAGCCTGAAGTTGTGCTTCACGGAGCACGAGTAGTGCCAGCTGTTGGAAGTTCTAGTGCGGAAACAGCACAACAGCAGAAATCAGAGCGTTAATTTTGCAGATTTCCTCTTGCACTAATGATGCCGGCGTGGCTCTGGAAAGCTACTGGTGTAGCCTCATTGCACATTTGTAGATGGAACCTAAAATTTGAACCGTAAAGCAGTAAGAAAAAGTAGTAGTAGTGTGCATGCATATGAAACAAGGATGAACACTGTGATGTGGAGGTGAACATAGGGTGAGCTGTCTGCAACCTCCTGAAAATCATTGTGCTACAAGTCTTTAAAAATGAGGATATTTAAATACAAGTGGTCCTCTCTTATCACATCATCTTGTTTCCTAGATGATGAAAAGTCAGCGTGTTACTGCTGATCATGTGCCACTTCCCAGTCTAGCTTCCTCTGCCCCATCCCTAGCCTAGCACAATTATCTAAAAATACAGTAAAACTAGGTAAGACTTAACAGAATGGACAGTTTGCTCTTTCTTCCTTGCCTTTGTTTATATTTAAACTGTTTGTGGAAAAATACACAGGGTTTAAATAGAGTAATACAGGAGTGAGATGAGGAGAAACTTGGTTTAATAGGTTACGTTTAAGGCATTCACACAGTTTGCCTTGGACTGTTCTATTCATCGTGTTTTGCCACACAATGGGTGGTTGCAATCAAACATTGTGAAGCTGGTGAAGTTTCACATCTAGTGCACTGCAGTTTGTCTTAAGACACTGCAGAATCGGGAACATCTGCATGGATTGAACCAGTATGGTTTGCTCCTTCCCCTCCCCCCTTTTTTTTTCCCTTCCGTTTACACCGTAAATGGAGTATAGGCTCTTGCTTACAAGATCCAGATCCGTCATTCTGTCATGCTTTGACAGAATCATGGAACGGTTTGGGTTGGAAGGGACCTTGAAGATCATCTAGTTCCACCCCCCCTGCCATGGGCAGGGACACCTTCCACTAGACCAGGTTGCTCCAAGCCTCATCCAACCTGGCCTTGAAGACATCCAGGGATGGGGCATCCACAGCTTCTCTGGGCAACCTGTTCCAATGCCTCACCACCCTCTCTGGGAAGAACTTCTTCCTGATATCTAATCTAAACCTCCCCACTTCCAGTTTAAAGCCATTCCCCCTTGTCTTGTCACTACAGGCCCTTGTAAAAAGGTGACTTAATATTAAATAATAAAACGTTATTTAATGATATTCTAGGTGTCACCATGTTCACAAGTATAGCAGGCTAAGCAATCCTGGCTGAGTAGAATCACACTTACTTAGTGGTACTGCTCAGCTTAAAGTTGCCAGCCTCACGTGCCGTAGCTCCCCTGGCTGGAGACAAAGGTCTGCAGGCTGCTTGAGTCTTCTCCTGCAAATGCAGGAGCCCCGTAAAAGTGTGCGTTAGGTACAGCATATCTGCCTTCATCTGCGCTGTCTCTCGCTGAACAGGATCTGTGAGCCTAGGCAGAGCCACCTGGGCTCTGTGTCTCGTTCTCCTTTTACCTCATTAAAGCAGTTAAGGCTCGCAAAAAGGAGGCTGACTCCCTGCCCTGCAGAGGGATCACACGCTTGAATGAAGAGACCAATTCCTACGTCTGAGGCCACTAGGAAGAAGTTCACTGACAGTATTCGAAGGGCTTTGCGAGCCATGCGACAAAGAGCGCTCTGGATGGATATCCAAGCCATTCTCCTTCCCTTTATGCCAGTGGGGTGAGAGGCCACGTCTCCATTAGTCTGAAAGCTTGTAATTCAGCTGGCTATACTGTCTCTGTATTTTCTTTTATACTGTGAAAAATGTGTTTACAGGGTTTCTTTTGGCACATCCTGCTTTTTTTCCTTTCAGATTACTGCACACAATCCCCAACAGCAAGGAGCAAGCTGTTACTCTGGCAGCGAGGTGAACTGAGCAACTTTCTATAGAAGAGCAGATCTGTGTAGTGCAGCTTATCTTGTCAGCTGTAAGATTAGAAGGTAGACAGCCTGCAACAATATCTGTACATGACTGACATTCAGGCTGGGATTCTGTCAAGGGGATGGTGCCTCTATCCATAGAAGTCCATCAGAAAAGATTCTGGTCAATCACAATGTTTCACCTGCAATATATTCCAGCCTGGCCATCTCCCCACATACCAAGTGGCTGATTACAAACTCACTGGGACACAAGCCACATCTTGTCATACTTGTATTTAGCTCTGAGCAAGTTACCACATTTCAGCAAATAGTAGTTCCTGGCATAGGATTCTAGCCATGGACAGTAACTGCAGCAACAGCCATCCTTGCACCTAGCACTCCTTTCCCCCAAGACCCCAAGGTTTTCCCAGTAAACAAAAGGTAAATCTCAGCAGCCCTAAGCTCTGCTGAGTTCCAGAGACTCAAGCTATATGTACATTATCTGCCTTACGCGCTGCTGAGATTTTTCCTTCTGCCTGTACGCCACGCATGTTGCAACCTCCTATTTTTAGAGTGGCAGTATCTGCTGGGACTGTGCCTGGTGAACATAACTCTTCTTGGAGAATTATTCCCCTGTTGTAAGGGGCATAAAAGTCAAACCTTGTGCCTCGTTCTTTCCTGGTACCTGCAGCTGCCGGCTGAAACAGGGGCCTGACTTGCCGCCATCGTCCTAAGCTCCCTGTAACAGCACTGTAACACGTGGCGAGGAGCAGTGGCTCCAGAGAGCAGAGTGCCCTTTGCCAACCTGCACAGGAAACAAGGCGTCACACTTCTCTGTGCTGAGAACAGCCTGTAAAAAGAAACAGAATTTGCACATCTCAGACTCCTAGAAGGGCTTGGGTGGAAGAGACCTTTAAGGATCACCTTGCCCAACCTCCCTGCCATGGGCAGGGACATCATCCTCTAGACCGTGTTGCTCACAGCCACATGCAGCCTGCCTGTGCACATCTCCACAACTTGTCTGGGCACCCTTTTCCAGTGTCTCAACACCCTCATTGTAAACAATTTCTTCTGTATATCTGAGGTAGATCTTTCCTTGTATCTCTGTGACCCTTCTACAAACTAGTGTTTGTGCAGGGTAAGGGTTAAGCTTCATACAATTTTTTTTCCATGAATATGAAAAAATTGCTGTTGTAGATAAATTTTTACTTTAGCACTTTTATATTTTCCATCATTCAGAAAGAATAATGTGGTAGTCTGCAGAGGAGTCCAGGTGGCAGAGGCGGAAATATTTAAAATCACTTTCTCCTCCTATCCCGACATAATCCCCCTGACATCACTTTTTCATGGCTGCTACCTCTGTCACTGTGTTGGGTATTTGGAGGTACCCAGCCCACAAGAATGAAAACAAAAAATTGTAATTTGCAGAAATTTTGTAAAAAACCCCACCAAACCAACATTTGAAAACTCACAGTGTTGCTTAATGCTTTCCACAGGTATCTTCTGGAATCCTTACGGTGTCACCGCTCGTTATTAGGTGTTAAGTCTTAGTGACTGCAACATTATGACAGTTCTAAACTTGAATAAACTTTGCATTCTCTTGGCAGATTTGCAGCTTGATGCGAGGTGGAATAGCTGAGAGGGGAGGGGTAAGAGTAGGACATCGTATCATTGAGATCAATGGACAAAGCGTTGTTGCTACAGCTCATGAGAAGATAGTACAAGCACTGTCTAATTCAGTGGGGGAGGTAAGTAAACAATTAAATACTTAATCAAGGAAGTACAACTGCTGAAAGCATACTGTTTTCAGATGAAGTGTGTCTTAACATAGTATTAAAACCACCACCGCAGTACACTGGAATTCAGCTCCAAAAAATGTTACCAGAACATATTTTTAACAGCGAGATGCACATTCACTGCATTTTCCCCTTCATTTCCAAGAGTTCCTGATATGATTCTGAACCCTCAACCTCCTGTTTGAATTAAACCAATCAGTCGAGGGAAGAAATGGCACAAGCACACTAGCTGTGAAAATGGCTCTTGGCTTATCACTACAGCATTGTTCAGAGAGCTGAGAGATTCAAATTGATAGGCATTTCAATGATTTCATTTCCCCTGGACATTTCCGACTTACCTTGGGAAAAGCTAAGCCCTCTCTCTCCAGTACTCGTAGCGAAATCAGCCGTGAGCAAGCAAGATCCTCCGGTTTATCACGATCCTACTGAACTTAGTGGTAGCATCATACACAACCCCGGCCAGTTCCTCCACTGGTTCCTTTTCCAGAAGTCAAAGGTAACTTGTTCTTCTGTGGAAAACGGTACTTGACAAAACAGAGGACATGCGCATGGGCAGGAACAAAGCTGTGGATTTCAAAAGAACCTCCGCACCTTTCTGGTACCTCTTCGCTGCTTAAGACCTCACTAAATGCGTAGGGACAGCACCAAGCTCTCATTTTCCACCCGAAGAGACCGAGGCAATCATGGCAGTGTATGGCTGGTGCGGGTCGCCGTGGTGTCAGGGGCACAGTTTACCTTCCCCTGGCGCTGTCCAAGGGGCACTTAGAGCTGCTACTGCGTTTCTGATCCAACTCCTGACACCTTTAATGCTGTTAGCCCCGACACATCACAGATTCCGTGTAGAAAGAACTTAAATACACTCGCCGGGAGAGAAACACTTCCACCGAAGTCTCAGCCGGGATTTAAGTATCAGGTGATGAGGTCCAGGTTTTGTGTTCAGAGGATCATACTTCAGCTGGGAGAAAATACGCACAAAGTGACCGTCCCGCAGGGAAGGGAGAGAGAAGGAAAAGGTAACTTCAGTTAATACCACAACAGCAGGGTGATCTTGCAGAAAGGTCGGTGCTGCTGCTTTTCTAGAGGCCGTAACTGGAGCAGGGCAGAACAGTAGGAAGCGTTTTGGTGTCTTTTCGGTTATACAGTGGTGCGTTCTGCTGTCATTTCAAAAACCCCGAACGCACAAAAAAAGCAAGCACGGCAAAGCAGCTTGCCAGAAGCAGACTTTTGAACGAGCAGCTTTGGTAGCTTTCACATCTATAGCAACCCGGAGAGTAAAGGCACACACACCCCGGGGGGGGGGGCAGGTTGGGCCTTAGGGGTCATTTCCAACTAGTAACGATTCTGTTAATTCCTGTGCACGCCAACTGACAGATTCACATGAAGACCATGCCAGCTGCCATGTTCAGGCTTCTGACCGGACAGGAGACACCCCTGTACATCTAGCGCGCGGCTCTCCTGCGGCAGAGTAACCAGATGGTTCCATCGAAGCTGAAGCCCTCGTAGCTGAAGAGAATTTTGTATTTTGTATGAAGGAAAGGCTTTGAAGCTGACCTGAGGACTCCGAGACAAGGAACAGACAGGTGTCTCTGCCTTTTTTCTCCTTCCTTTTTATTTCTTTGCCAAAAAGTGATGAGGAGGATGGTCAAGGACAGTAATCGCTGACAGAAATCTTTGTAAGACACTGAGGTATTTTGCAACATCTTCTAAACTCTTTTCTCATCAAACATATTTATTTGTAACCTTTATGTGAAGTGACGTATGTATGTCTGTCTTGTTTGATAACACGGTGAATGTGGATATTTGATGAATGAGACTGCAGGAAATGGCAAGGAGAAGCAGTTAGGGGAAGTTATGGCTGCCTCGAGTTAAAAAATAAATCCCAGTCCCATAAAATGGTCCAATGCTGATGGCTTTGCTTCATCTTAAACCTGGTGCTGAATAGATGGTATTTCAGTGGAAAGGAATGTGTGCAGTTCAAGCTTTTAGATGCTCATGTAAAGAAAACCACTGTAGTACTTGGTATTGTTATGACAAGTGTAACCTGTTTGGCAAGGTGTGACCATAAACTTGTAACAAGTGTTTCGGATGCTCAATAAAGAATAATTGCCACAAGATTAAAATCAAAATATTTATTTAGATACATATTTATTTTTAATGCTTGTGATTTTTATGATTTAACAGAGTTATTTCATGGATGACTTATTGCACAGGTTGTGTAATGTATGTGTTGGGCTGGGGGTCTTTTTCTTTGATTTTTGCATATTACCTTTTTGTTTCTATTAGCTCAAAAGGGGAAAGCCATGCTTACCTGTTTCTGTCTTTTATACAGCATTCTTATTCCTAAGGCAATGTGTTCTGAATGTAAATTGTTTGGACAAATAACCTAGCACCATCAGCAGTATTATTAGACTGTGTGTAGGTAAAAACCCTAGTAGTAAAGTTGTATTCCTTACCAGATAAATGTTAATTGGTGTAACTTTTCGTCTAGATTTTTTTTTGGCCAAGGCCTTGAAGAAAATACACTGTGACTTAAAAAGCCTTACCATGCAGTAACTAAAGAGCTTTAGATGACTGTACTTCACGGAGTAGTGTGTTGCATGCAACTGACCTTAGGAAAGAATTAACCTACTATCACTAATAAATCTGGAACAATAAAGGAAGCTTGCTTATTTTTTTTGTCGTGTAAGTTTACGTAGTAAAAAAATCCAAGTAGGAGGTCATTTAATTCTTCATCTAAGTGCAGTTGCAAAGGTCACAGATTTTTTTAGAAGGGAATTAATCTCTTGATTTAGGAACTGGTGTATCATTATTACCTTGAGAGTAGAGGCTTTCAGGTAGCATACCTTGTTGCCACTGGATGTCACTGTGAGTTCACATCAGTACAGAAGCATGCTATAATTAAAATACATTAAAATGGATGATTCTGTAAAACTTACACTACCCATCTTCAGCTACATTCCTTTGTGACCTTTTCACAGGATGTCTGCCCAGCTCAGAGTGACACAAATGAAACCAGTGTATGATTAAACCTCAAATGGAAACTAATGCTGCTGACAAGCACTGCTGCAAAAAAATTAAACCCCTGAAACGTCAGCCTGTGGTAGGCTCTTTCTGAGAACCTTTTGTTTAAGGCCTTTCCAATGTCCTCTGAGAGAGCCAGGACGAAGCTTGCACTGGAAGACGTTGCTGGCAGACCTGTGTTCATGCTGGTAATTCAATTAGCGTCAACGATACTTACTTTTTGATACTTGGTGGGGTTTGGGGGTGGGGTTTTTCGTTCTTGAGATCAGTGTGAAATAAATCATAAACGCAGCAGAACCACAAGGACATGTTTTAGTAATACGACTGTCAAAACTACTAATTGGAGTAACAGTTACTTTTGAAAAAGTGTTGAAGGCTCTGCTAGATAAAAATTCACCTGGCTTCCACTCAGGTTGCAATTTTGGAGTTTGGGGAATGTGCCTTTGGGAAATGCAGAATTTCAAAGACTCCTTCTCTACCAGCTCACAAAGCAGTTAAAGGCCAGTGTTCAGCAGCACCCACTACTCCACTAAAACTTGTAAGCGTTCAGAACAAAGCAAAAATAAGCCCCACCGCAGCCTTTCCTGTAACGTAAAAGGGCAGCATACTGGGGGAGCAGGCGGGTGGTGCGTGAGCAGCTTGAAGAGGACAGATCAGGTATAGCTGCCATGAAAGACGCTGGAAAGATGGATTAGAGGCAGCACTGTATGTGCGTGTGAATCGCCTTGACATTTTCTACCCAAATCAGCTGTTGAAAAGGCAAAGTCCAGAAATACTTTTTATTAAAACACTGATCAGTTAAAACACTTTGAGGTACATTAAGTAAACACAACTTTTAAGTTGTACAGCCGGTCTCTTGGCGGTTTTGCAGTGGTTTTCAAGAAATGCTCAGCACCATCAGCAGCATTTCTGGAAGTGCAGTGGAATAAATGCATTTCTGGCTGGGAAAACATTTGTTATGACTTTACTATGAAATCCGTTAAAATTTTGCAAAAATCAGGGCTGAAATTTACATTCAGAAAAACAGGGATTCTCTTCCTGCTGTTGGAAAAAAGTGGAATTCCAAAGAAAGACACTTTTTCCCAGTCCTGGTTTCTTCCTTCATTCTCTTTGCTGCAACCACATACCTGCAAATCTCCTCAAAGGATGGTCTCCCGGCAAACTCCAATTAAACTGTGGGGCCTGTCCCGCTCGAAGCTGCGAGCGATACGGGACCTGCGTAAGAAGGCAACTGGAGAGCTCAGAGCACCACAGCTCTGGAGATGAAGATCTTCTTGAAGTCGCTTTCTAGAGGTATTCACGTTCTGCTGGGAACTTGTAATCACCTGTTTAGAGGGCAGGAATGGAGAAGGAAGTGGGGAAGACAGGGTGAGAGATGTTTTCATCTGAGTGCTCCGGTCCCCGCGTATCATTTCGTTCCTCTAATGGGGGAGCTCTCCCAGGGGAGGTGGGTGTTTATGCGGCCATCCATGACCCTCCCACTTCTCCGGTTCTTACAGCTGGCGCGGCTGAGGGCTGGCTACTGGAAGGCAGTCAGGCTCGAAAGGCATCAGGCCTCCTACCTGTGCTGCAGTGCTGACTCCGCAGAGGCACAAACAAATACGCGCTTACGCAAAGGAAAAGGGAACCTGTGGAAAAGGCGGCAGCTCTGCCTTATAACGACACAGGCAAGTTTGGAGCAAATTCAACTCATCTGTTTGTTCAGGAGAAAGGGATGCATCACCAGCTTTGCTGAGGGTAGAAGAGACTAAAACCTTGCAAGTCTGGTAAACCAACAGTTAATACAACTGCCCAGCTACTTCACAAATCTGAATTATACAACTATTTTACCAAAAATTCTGGGACTTGCGTAGATTGCTGGGATGCCCTGGACTTCCACTAATTAATAACAGTTTTCGTCTGGGGAAAAAAACACCCTACTAGAATTATTTCTTTAATGTGACAACATTCATCTCATTGGATCCAAGCAATCCACACAGGATAAAAACTGGGCCATAGGTTTCTGGTTTTATGATCTACATCACCACTCAGATTTCTTTATACTGCTTTGTGAGAAACTATGGTTTTTTCCATTTAAAGAAAACTGTTCGCAACTCCGAGGATTTAATAACCTATACATTTTTAAAGCAATAAAAATGTTAACAGAGCGTCACTATGGGATGTTAAGTATGTGTGATAGTACTGGTTTTCTACCCCTGTGACTACAGAGGTGACTGATACAGTGCTACTTCTTCGTTAGCCAGAACAAACTTGCGGCAAGCTTTACTCACTGCTGTATGTGTCATGCCCAGATCACACCATCTCACGGGCGGGTTAAGTGCTATTACATCCTGTTTTAATACTTATCTCAGAAAGGGGGGAGATGTGTGTATCCTGGTTTGCCTGTCCAGCTCTGTGGAAACCCTACAGGCACCCTAAATGGGTTAGTAAGGGCTAAGAGCATTCTGCTTTTCAAATCCGACAGCGTGAAAGGAACTTCATTTCTACAGCTAACATCCTGGTAACGATACAAGCAAGGTGTGATTCATCACCTTTCTTACTGCAAAAAAGACTTATTCTGGCTAATAAAAGCTGCTGCCACTACTAATTCCCTTCCAAGCCTTGTGCCCATTTTATTCTCACTCCAGGTGAGAAGATGCATTATTCCTTCGTTTAGAAAAGCACAATTTCTCAAGTCTTTCTCTTAAAAATAGCAAGGGTCATTATCATTCTTCTAGCCAGGAGTAAGGGAAACTGCCCTGTTCTGTGCCCAGAGAGGTGGTGGAGTCTCCTTCCCCAGAGACTTTCCAAAGCTGCCTGGACTTGTGCCTGTGTGATCTGCTCTAGGTGATCCTGCTCTGGCAGGGGGGTTGGACTAGATGAACTCTAGAGGTCCCTTCCAACCCCTTCCACTCCGTGAATCTGTGGCCCTGCTTTTCTATCCACCCATGCTTTTCAGCTGGTAGCTTACACCATACACATCTACGTTTGCCCGACAAATCAACAGATCGAGTCAGTTCTGTGCATCTCCGTGTACAAACATCAATTCATGTATGGAACAGTCCCAGGTACAGAAAGAAGTTGGAAATATTATCAGTGTGTATCGGTTCCCTATAGATCTCCTAGGATACTACTGGGTCCAGCTGAGGAACTTCACATGCATTTATAGGAGTGGGTCAGTGTAACAGGCACTGCTGCCCAATAACTTAATTATTTCTTACTAAAGCCATGTTATAATAAAAGAACTTCTGTAGGAATTGCCTGAAGTCGTTAAAACTGTAAAAACATTTTGGTAGGGTACGTGTTATCATGGCTGTACAAACCTCTAGGATGTAGGCGGCCTACCTGGTCTATAATGTTGGCACTGAAGATGGCTTCTTCCATGTGTCTCTCATCAGATTTTATCACTGATCGGATGCTGTTCACTACATGCCGTACTTCTGGAGGGAGATTACAGTTTGAATGTTCCAAAAATTTTGCCACTAAAATTTTTGTGTCTTTATAGGCCTTAAGGTCCACTAAAGAGTGCGGTCGCTCTTTTGAGACCGTGTGCAAAGCCTTTGGCTTTAGGTGTAGATCAGTCTTCCTTGCATCCCTCTGTTTTCCAGTTGCTAGGAAACCGCTCAAAGAATGCTGACAAGCAGAGGCAGCCATGTGAGAACCAGAACCAGGAACTAAGAAAGGGGGGGAAGAATATCTTTGAAGTAACAAGTTAAAGAAAAAAAAAAAAAGAAAAAAAAGAAAGAAAAAAGGCAAAACAAATATTGTCACAGAAGTTTTTACTTTCTGTA